AGAGCTGTGGCTGGAGGACAGGAGGTGGGGTGATGACGCCATGGCAACGGAACTGACGACACTACGTCGAGGTTTGTATGAAATTACTCCACAACAGGAGACGATGTCAGGCTCGGTTGTTCAGTATGCGAGGGTGACGAAAAAGAGCCTATGAACTCCAACCAGGCCTAGATATTTTGCAGGAGTGAATGACCAATCACATTGACTCGTGGAATGGCTTACTGACTCGTGGCGTCGTTTTCTCGGCCTAACAGCACAGGCTAAAAGTCCGAGGATAGAGCTGCAGTCACAGCGACTGACAGTGAAGCAACAATGCTGAACACAAGGAGTCAGGACGCTGTTGCAGCGTGTTGTAAGGACTGAAACGCAGCTCAGCTCAAAAAAATCCAGGAGACCGTCCTCCGACTAACGGCCTGAGAGAGCTAAGCTAACGTTCCGTCGACGGTGCTGCGGAAATGATGCAAGTTGTTTTGGATGAGACCTAGGTATTGTCAGGAAAGGTGATGTAGGTTTTGTTGGAAGAGCTCAAAGTTCAGGATTCCTGAATCTGGCAGCTTGCTAGAAACCAGGGATGAACGAACTAATTGGGTGAAGCGAATACTGCGAAACGGTTACGCAGACGGTATCATCGATTGATATTTCGGCACGTCGATTCTACTCTGAAAGTTTTTCGCCGTTCTCGCAAAAGTGCTTTGTGGTCGCGGATGCGTGCAGTCAACGTGTTCGTTGTGGCTGCCAGAGGCCGATGACAACGAACTGGGAGCAAAGTTCATGCTACGTGGCTGGCGGAACGTCCAGGAGCCTGGGAAGCGGATGATGTGGCATACTCACACGACCTCGCTGATTGGCATACGGACAGACTGTCGTCTTGGATGAAGTCCACAGGTTCGTGGATCAGATATGGTGCTGTGCTTGCAGCGGAATAATTGCCAAGAACCCCATGACGAGCGTGGGCTAATGTATAAAAGAAGGTGTATTTTAGAGGGTACAGTCACGGCATGGGTATTCTTCCAAACGACTCCGTTATACGAAGGTTCTACTGTCGAGAACAATGCTATAACGAGGTATTTTAATGATGGTGATTGACGAACATCCGAAGATCCTCCGCACCCCTCAAATAGTTCTTTTTATGAAACTCTACCTCTCCCAGGGATTTTCCTCTCTGTAGTGACGGGTTTACGAGAGGACGAATTTCGTATCGGCAAATTGGAGAACGTCGCTTTCCACCGGTCTGAGAAAAAAATCCTGTCCTAGCACCATATTAACTGCTTCCGAGAATCCTGGTGATATCCAGAGACTTTAGAGTAGGGAAGAAAAATCTAAGTGATATGCTTAGTCTTGTTCTAGAAAGTTAGTAAGTGCTCCTTCTACCACCACTCGTTTCCTCACCCAGTGTTCCATTGGTTGACAAATTATCACCACTGAAAGATGCCAACTGTTTCCTGAAGCAACAATTAGTCAAACAGAAGATTTGAGGTAAGTCGGGCAGCAATTAGCACGTGAGCCCTACGCCAAGAGGCTGTGAGAACAAAATATCGATATCCGGTATTGCAGCTGGCTCGTTATTATACATCATACGAAACGCAGCTTGAAATCAATAAATCCACTTCATCTAAAGACAAACCGTCATCAGTTGTGCATTTCCGCGTTCGCAGCTAAGAATTGAACCGCTGGAAAGACATGATGTCATTGACGTTTCACGCTACCAATTTTTGTGCCGACTTTCCAGTCATGCACGAATCAAATCGTTTCGCGGCCTTTCTACGCGGCCAGGGTATCTTAGAGCTTTCTTACTGGGCAGCGCGAAAATGGCGTCAGGTGGCGAGTTCCCGCCAAAAGCAGCGCGCCATTCTCGCAGCGCTCTTGCGCTCCGTCCTTATTTCCATGCGCGAATCCGATTCAGATTCGAAGAATACACTTACACTTAGATCAACAGATGGTGTGCCAAACGAGCTGGTTAGTCCCCTGTCAGAGGCAACGAGGGTAGGACACGTGGCAAACTCGTTGTTCCCTGCTGACGTGTTCAAGGCTTTGCTCGAAGGAGAGGAGGAAGAGAAAGAGGGGGTTCAGTCAGGGAACGGGGAGGGCAGAAGCGAGGGGGAAGGAGAGGGGAAACGGGAGGGAAAAGCAGTGGGGGAAAGAGAAGGGGAGGGAGAGGGAGGGAAGAACTTACCTTGTGAGAATGAGAGAAACACCTTGCACTCTCGCCTCCCTCCAATCTCCTTTCGTGGTGTGCCGCATCGCCCCCTTTACAAGCACCTAGCGGTCGCGCTCCTTCACTATTGTCACACAGGAGCCTTGCCTTCAGCCGTGCTGACGTGTCAGGGAATGGAGGAGAAGGAGGGGAGGCGAGGGGAGGAGGTGGGCCGGTGGCATGGGACCGTTATGGACGCTGGTGGCCGGCTCTTGGAGCTTATAGAGGAGCTTTCTAACGAGTACAGGAATATGGGGGAGCGGAAGATGGGGCAAATGGAGGAGCGGAAGGTGGGGCATATGGGGGAGCGGAAGGTGGGGCAGATGGGGGAGCGGAAGGTGGGGCAAATAGAGGAGCGGAAGGTGGGGCAAATGGGGGAGCGGAAGATGGGGCAGATGGGGGAGCGGAAGGTGGGGCATATGGGGGAGCGGAAGATGGGGCAAATGGAGGAGCGGAAGGCGGGGCAGATGGGGGAGCGGAAGGTGGGGCAAATGGGGGAGCGGAAGATGGGGCAAATGGGGGAGCGGAGGGCGCGGAGGAATCACCAGCTGCACGTGCAGGCGGAATACCTGAAACAGCTCGCAGGTTGAACGGGAGGGGGGAAGATGGGGGGAGGTGAGAAGGGGGGAAATGAGCGGGTGAAGAGGGGAGAGATAGGTGGGCGGGATGAGCAGAAATGGGGTGTAGAAGAGGGGCGTGGTGGGGGAGAGGGATGCTCGTTGGAAGGAGGAGGGAATAGAGTGAGTTCGTTACTGTACGTGGAGAAAGCGAAGAATTACTTTTGTTTCTTTGCCTTGTCTTCGTGTCTTTCACTCTTTCCCTTTGTTCCTGCTTGCACTGCAGAGGGAGCCAAGCAGGTGGAGGGCCGCTGCAACCTGCCGCCCTACAGCAGGTGGGGGAGCATGACCGTTCCGCGGCCTGTGGTGCTGCCGTTGGTTGCTTTCAATCGCCTTTGTCAATCAGCAATTATTATTGGCCCCCCTTTCAGCTTGCCTCTATCTGGCCCTCACGAACTAGCCTCCCTTCCCCACTGCCCCACTGTTCCTCCTCCTCCTCCTCCTCCTCTTCCTCCTCCTCTTCCTCCTCCTCCTCCTCCTCCTCCTCCTCCTCCTCCTCCTCCTCCTCCTCCTCCTCCTCCTCCTCTACCTCCTCCCCCTCCTCCTCCTCCTCCTCCTCCTCCTCCTCCTCCTCCTCCTCCTCCTCCTCCTCCTCCTCCTCCTCCTCCTCCTCCTCTACCTCCTCCCCCTCCTCCTCCTCCTCCTCCTCCTCCCCCTCCTCCTCCTCCTCCTCCTCCTCCTCCTCCTCCTCCTCCTCCTCCTCCTCCTCCTCCTCCTCCTCCTCCTCCTCCTCCTCCTCCCTCCCATTCTCCCCGCCCCACCCAGCATCAGCGCAGGTGATCGGATCACATTCAACAATACCCTTACACTCGCCGTTCAGGTATGCAACAGCCGATAGCTCCTCTCCTCGCCCCCCCTCAACTCCCTCCTCCTCTCTCCCCCCCCTCTTCATCCATCACACCCTACCCTACCCTGCCGCCCTACCCTAACCTACCACATTTAGTCCGTGCAGGTATACCCCTCTATCATGTGCCCCCCCGGCCTCTCCCTCCCTCCTGACACATGAGGGGTATCACACACACCTGCCTGCCACACATTCCCAGTCCGTGCAGGCATACCCCTCCTTCCCCCGCATGCTGGCATCTGATGGGCTTTCTGTCTTTCTGCCATACCTTACACGACCCATCTCTACCGTTCCCTACCCTACCCTAACCCACACATTCCCAGTCCGTGCAGGCATACCCCTCCTTCCCCCACATGCTAGCGTCTGAAGGGCTGTCTGTCTTTCTGCCATACCCTACACGACCCATCTCTACCGTTCCCTACCCTACCCTACTCCACCCATTCCCAGTCCGTGCAGGCATACCCCTCCTTCCCTAGCATGCTTGCATCAGTAGGGCTCTCTACGGTGCTGCCCGGAGTCGAGACACTGGAGGAAGGTGCGAGGAGGTGGGAGAAAAGAGAGGAATGTGAGATGAAAGTGCAAGGAATGTGAGAAGAGGGTGAGTGGAAAGTCCAAGGAATGTGAGAGGAAGATGAGAGGAAGGAGCGAAATGAATGGAATGTGAGAGGAATGAGGACTAGAACAGCTACAATCTAATTCCTGGTTTAATCTCGTATTTTTTCCTTTCCCTTTTGCAGGGCTGGCAGTGTATCGCCGGTTTTACTCAGAGGAGAAAGAGCATCGAGCGGGTGTGCTTGCATTACGAGTGGAGCTATGCGGGTCTGCTGACGGGGATGGGTGCCAAGCTGACGTGGCCAGATCTCAAGCTGACGTGGCCAGACGTCAAGCTGATGTAAAATCACAGCTGGAGTCCCAAGTGGCTTCGCTTATCCACCGAATCCTCGTTGTAAGCCTCCGTTCTTAAGCAAAATTTTAGGCTAAAAAATCGCCTGAATCCTCATTGTAAGCTTCGTTCTTAAGTGTGGCTGTAGAAAAGGCCTATCTAGTCGCGCTTGATCCCTTTATCATCTGCGACATGACCTCCTCCAACACTCCGCTCCCTTCCCCGCCACTGCACACGAGGTGACTTTTGAGTCGACTCAAAAGTCACTGCGTGAGTCGACTCGAAAGTCACTGCGTGAGTCGACTCAAAAGTCACCTCGTTACCATGACACACGACACATGTTCTCCTCCAACACGCCGCTCCCTTCCCCGCCACTGCACACCCTCTCGTTCCATTCCCCCATTTCTGCACCCGCCTTCCCGTCACTCACACCTAATCTCCCACGCTCACCCCTGGCAGGCCATGGGTCCACGTGGCATGAGCCGATTGGTGGGAATGCGAGTGACTGAGGGGAGTGTGCTGGCTGCTTTCCCTCCCTCTCGCGCCGCACTTATAGCGTCCTTTCAACAGCCTGTGAAAGGGGGGGTGAAGGGGAGGAAGGAGAAGAAGCAGCGGAGGAGAGAGCAGAGTCAGGCAGTGCAGAGACGTGATGAGTTGGGGAAGGAACAGGTGCAGAGAAGGCAGGGGAAGGGAGAGCAGGAGCAGCAGGATGAGCAGGAACAACAGGAGCAAGAGGAGCAGCAGGAAAAACAGCAGCAGCAGCAGCAGCAGCAGCAGCAGCAGCAGCGGCAGCAGCAGCAGCAGCAGAAGCAAGAGCAGCAGCAGGAGTTCCAGCAGCAGCAGGAGCAGCAGCAGCAGCTGTCCAGATTCATTGAATGTGCAGCGGAGAGTGCAATGTGCTGCAGTTGCCAAGTGGAATCAGAAGCGGTGAGCCATGCGGTTCAACTCAACAGGAGTAGGGTGTGTGGAGGTGCATGCAGTGGGGCATGCAGTGAGGCAAGTATACGGGAATGCAGATGTGAAAGCGCAGGGGCGCCATACCTGTCTGCAAGGCATAAGCATGTCCCTTTTGAGGCGCCTCAAAAGTTGTCTATTATCCCGCAATTTTCATACCTGTCTGGAGGGCATAACCATGTCCTTTGTATGCGGGGATCATACCTGAGCGAATCATCTCTAGAGTTGCACGGGGGGGCGACTCTGATCATGCCATGTGGTTGCAGAGAAGAAGCAGGAGAAGAAGCAGAAGGAGCAGAAGGAGCTGGAGAACGTTTTGAGTCGACTCAAAAGTCAGAAGGAGCAGTTGGAGCTGGAGAACGGGGAAATGGTTCTCATGGGGCCCATCTAGCACCAGCTCACACTCGAGGCTCGTTTACACCTGCAAGCCCACAATGCACAGAACCACCAGCTAGCTCGCTGCTCACACAACCAGGGCGATTAAAGCCCCACCCACGAGCGCACGTGGAGGCATTGACTGTGGGCGTTTATCCTCCTGCAGCAAGCTCTCGAAGCACAGAACCACCGGCTATCTTGCAGCTCACACAAACGCAGCCACAGCCGCAGCCGCAGCCGCAGCCGCAGTCAGCACGATTGAAGCCCCACCCACGAGCGCACGTGCAGCTGCTGACAGTGGGCGCATATCCCCCTGTAGCAAGCTCTCAACGCACAGCACCCCCAGCCAGCTCACAGCTCACACAGCCAGCACAACCACAGTTGAAGCCCCACCCACGAGCGCACGTGCAGCCGTTGACAGTGGGCGCATATCCCCCTGTAGCAAGCTCTCAACGCACAGCACCCCCAGCCAGCTCACAGCTCATACAGCCAGCACAAGCACAGTTGAAGCCCCACCCACGAGCGCACGTGCAGCCGTTGACAGTGGGCGCGAGGGCGCTCTCAAAACACTGCCACCGGGGGAGAGACGGTTTCTGGGGCGACGCCTCTGGACCAGGTTTGTGCGTTCCTTTTTTTTTTTTTTTTTTTTTTTTTTTGGCCTAAAAAGCCCACAAGTATTCTGCTTTTGAGTCGACTCAAAAGCAGAATTATTTTGGAATGAAAAGCCCACAATGCACAGAACCACCAGCTAGCTCGCTGCTCACACAACCAGGGCGATTAAAGCCCCACCCACGAGCGCACGTGGAGGCATTGACTTTGGGCGTTTATCCTCCTGCAGCAAGCTCTCGAAGCACAGAACCACCAGCTATCTTGCAGCTCACACAAACGCAGCCACAGCCGCAGCCGCAGCCGCAGTCAGCACGATTGAAGCCCCACCCACGAGCGCACGTGCAGCCGTTGACAGTGGGCGCGAGGGCGCTCTCAAAACACTGCCACGGGGGGAGAGACGGTTTCTGGGGCGACGCCTCTGGACCAGGTTTGTGCGTTCCTTTTTCTCTTTTTTTTGGCCTAAAAAGTCCAGAAGTATTCTGCTTTTGAGTCGACTCAAAAGCAGAATTATTTTGGAATGAAATGCCCAGAACTATTCTGCCTGACCCTCCCGCCTGTCAGAAATAGATCGACTCTGCCGCCCATTTGTTCCCCTTCAGATGCAAGGAAGAACCAGCACGCATTGGCGTGCGTTGCATCTGAGGCATTCCAAAACTAGTACAAGTAGTAGTGAGAGGGTACGCTTACATCCTCTGCCTCTTACTCACTCTTTCCCCCTCAGATGCAAGGAAGAACCAGCACGCATTGGCGTGTCTCACCAGCCTGTTAAACAGTGCCACGTGGATGAACGTGCATGCCCTGCCACACGACCTGCCGGTGTTTGAAGTGAGGGGGAGCGAAGGGTACGGGGCGAGATGGAGTGCCGACGGTTTGCAGGTAGAGTGTGTTGCTTGGATAATGTCAATATAGTTTTTGTCACACTACCTTGCAGCATGCCCTGCCGCATGCCCTGCCGCATGCCCTGCCGCATGCCCTGCCGCATGCCCTGCCGCATGCCCTGCCACGTTCCCTGCCAGTGTTTGAAGTGCGGGGGAGAGAATGGTACGGGGCGCGATGGAGTGCAGACGGGTTTCAGGTAGAGGCTGGTGCAGACGGATATTCGATATGTAGTAATTGTCTCGCTCGCTACCTTTCCGCATGACCTGCCGGTGTTGATGTGTGGGGGAGATAGATTGAAGGGTGTGCAGGCGGCTTGCAGTTGGGGTCTGTAGCACCTGGACCACTGTCACATCATCTAATCATTGTCACAGCACCTGGACCACTGTCACATCATCTAATCATTGTCACAGCACCTGGACTATTGTCCCATCCCATCCCACCCATCCTACCCATCCCATCCTGTGTTCTGCCACCCACTCGAGTCCAGCAGTTTCGAGGGTTTCTCGAGCCACAGATGCCGGATGGTCATGCTAGAAGATGGAGGCATTGAGACGACAACATTGTGAACATAAGACAAAACTGGTGAACTACGCATCAGCCGTGCAATATGGTGGTGGAAGAGACATTAACATTTATTTCATCTATGAGCGGAGTGGCTTGCACTTGCACACGAAGTGAACTTGGGAGTCATTGACATACTGTAGCTGGCATGACTGGAGGATACTACCGTAATTCCTGCAAAACGATGGGAGTTGTTGATGCAACACTGTCCCTTAAAACACACCGTTTCTCGAAAGCAAGCGATCTACTGCACACACATTATTTTGCTGAAAGGTAGATAGGGTGTTGATGGTAGAGTTAAGCATTGTGTTTCTTTTATATGAAGCATTTGTTCAGTACGTACACTTTTGCAAATAGTGCGATAGAGTGGCTTCGATCTTGTAACGAGTTCGGCTGCTTTCCTCGACGCTTCCCGCTTGCGTGATGCCTCCTCTCCCCGCCAATTCGCATCTCCCTCACAACGCGGCTGAAGAAACAGCAGGCCATAGAAATTGATAGCGAGTCCACCTCCTGCCTTGTCGCGTTTCCGTCTGCAAATTCTCGACGCTTCGACTTGTTTCCGCACCCAGCCCTGTCGCTTTCCGTTAGCGCCTGTCCGAATTCTCCGCCTTTCCGCCTTCGCCTTCACGCCGTCGCCTTTCCGCCACCGTCGCCTATCTGCATTCGCCCTTGCTCACACGCCGTTCCGCCTTCTCCGTTCTCCATACGCCGTTCGGCCTAAAAACTTTTCGCTCGCGCCTTCCCTCACGCACCCTCTCCCCTCGCGCCTTCCTCCGCGCCTTCCCCCACGCGCCTTCCCCCTTGCGCCGTCATGGTCGCGTTTATCGTGGGCAACAGCCATCCCGCCATCCCCGTTTCCGCCATCCCCACTTCCGGGGAACACTCCTCCGGTCCCGCCGCATTTCCCGCCGTCTCTGCCGCCGCCGCAACCGCAACCTGCGACTGCGCAAGCATATCGTGCAAGCCGACAAATTTAGACCAACCGGGTGGAGAGCAGGTTTCGGATCCTAGCCGTCCGACCAGTTGTTGCAGAACGGACGGTCACGATGCAGGGAAACGTACGGAGCTGATTCCTGGCTTGCCTGATGACGTGGCAGTCAAGTGCCTCGCTCGCGTGTCGATCGTCTGCCACCACAGGTATCACCTCTCCTCACCTCTCCTCGCCTCTCCTCACCTCTCCTCACCTCTCCTCACCTTTCTCTTTTGCCCTCACCTCCTCTGCGTCTCATCCCCTTTCCCCTCTGCTGGGGCAAGATGCAGGGCCGTCTCCACTCTCTCCTCGCCGCTTCCCACACCCCCTGCCATCCCCTCTTCCCCTCTGCTCTCCTTCCCTTCCCCCCCCTTCCAGCTGCAAGCCTATCTCCCGCGCATGGCACGCTCTCTTCTCCTCTCCTCGCATAACCTCTTTTCACATCCTATCTTCCCCTCTCCTCTCCTCCCTTCCCCCCCATTACAGCTGCAGGGCTGTATCCCGCACATGGCACGCTCTCTTCTCATCGCCGCTCCTCTTTGCCGCCCGGCGAATCGAGGGGCGGCAGGAGCAGCTGCTAGCACTCTTCCATGGGGATCCCTCCGCTTCGGGCGGCTGGCTGCTGCACCAATCACAGCGCGACACCTGTCCCACATCCAACCAATCACAACTCACAGGTCCCTCACCCTCATCCAACCAATCACGCAGCGCCACGTGGCGCCGCCGGCGCATCCCTCCCATGACCCCCACACTCAACACCTACGGGCTGTTGGGGTTCGGCCTGGCTGCTGCTGACACGTGTCTCTTTCTGATTGGCGGAACAGTTTTCGACGCCACCGCCTATCCATCCGATCGACCCGTACCCACGTCCGGAGTGTTCTCGTTTGATCTTATCTCCAACCAGTGGCGCCAGTGTGCTTCTATGGCTCAGCCTCGAGCCTCTTTTGCCGCTACCTCCCTCCCTTCTCATCCTCCTCGCCTTTCTTCCAACATCAACAGCAGCAGCAGCGGCAGCAGCGGCAGCGGCAGCAGCAGCAGGAACAGCAAAATTACAGGTTTGTCGGTTAGTAGGGTTGGCGGATCAGTGGTGGCAGGGGAAATGGAGTGCACGGGAACTAGGGGAGCGGTTCTAGTGGCAGGGGGAAGTCACAGCCCGGCCCCTGCCATGGCCGGCAGTGTCCAGCTGGCAGCCGCTGAGTGGTATGACGTGGCAAGTGACACGTGGCATTCTCTCCCGCCACTGCCAGAGGCCAGAGGGGGCTGTGTGGGCGCGCTGGTGTCTTTGTCTGCTGGCGACTGTGACAGTAGGGGGGGCAGAGGTGACAGCGGCAGGGGCAGGTGTGACAGCAAGGGGGGCCAATGTGACAGTACCAGGGGTAAGTGTGACAAAACCAGGGGTAGATGTGACAGGGGGGAATGCTGCAGCGGCAATGAGAATAACACGATGCTGGTGGTCGTGGGAGGGTTTGGGTCGGAACCGGACTGGCAGGTACCAGCAGGAGTGGTGGGTGCTGCGGCTCCGGTCCGGCAAATCCGAGCCTTCCTCCCCTCCGCTCGTGCATGGGTCTCAAACCCCTCCAGCACCTCAAATCCATCAGACGTCTCAAATCCGTCAAACGCGGCAATGCTGAATTCAAACCCCACAGCAGCTGCTAGTGGTGAGGAGGTTTCGAGACTCTCATCAGCTGCTGGTGAGTCTGGGTTGAACCTCGCAGCAGCAGCAGCAGCAGCAGCAGCAGCAGCAGCAGCAGAGGCGGTGAGGGGGGTGTGCTTGCCGGTGGAGCGGCGCACTGCAGGCCCGGTGGCAGTGCTGCAAGGGCGCCTGTACATGCTCGCTGGTAACACCCTCCTCCGCCTTGGCCCCGCCCTGGACATCCCCCACATTGCCACCAGCAGCACCACCAGCAGCAGCACCAGCACCGCCACTAGCAGCAGCAGCAGCAGCGACGGCAACAGCAGCAGCAGCAGCAGCGCTGGCAATACTAGCTTCTCCAGCGTCCTTCCGAAGCAGCAAGCTATGCCATGGGTATGGCACCGAGTCACCACCCTCCCATTCTCCGACCCCACAGCGGGGTTCTTTGCCCTCAACAGCGAGCTCTTTGTCATCCCCACCACTCCCTTCCGCTTTAGTTTCGGCCGGGCCAGGCGCCTTCCCCCCCAGCAGCACGCCTACTGCCCCGCCACCAACACTTGGCGCACTGAGCCGCTGGTTCCCGTGCTCCAGGGAGTCAGGATGGATGGGCGGGGAGGGGCGGGCAGGGGAGCAGAAGGGGCGACAGGGGGGCGGGTCGGAGGTGGGGAGCTGGGAACGGCTGCGGTGATGTGCTTGTAAGTGCATGTAGGTGCAGCACACCTACTCTCCCCCAGCAGCACGCCTACTGCCACACCACCAACACTTGGCGCACTGAGCCGCTGGTTGCTGTGCTTCAGGGGGTCCGGATGGATGGGGGAGGAGGGGGGGGGAATCTCTCACACGGGTTGGGCTTGGACGGCGGCAGCAAGCGCTGTATTTTGGATCAGGTCAGCTTGTGAACTTTTCCAACATGCTTCCCAACGGAGCTGACAGCCCAGACTGGCGGCATTACCGATCGCTTGCTCCTAGTAAAGTCAACAACGGTCTGCCCGACGGGCTGAACTTTTTGAGGATGCTTCCATCCAACCCATTGGCACCAACTTGTGGAGGAGAATCCATCAATACAGTACAGAGGCACCAAACCCCAAGCGTGCAACACGGGCTGCATTCGATAAAAAGGCATTCGTCCAGAATCACGATTCCATAAACGTGGAACCTCTACAGAAGCAAGAGTGCAAAAAATGATGCACTCGACTAAAAAAGCTCAATGGAAATTGAGAACTCGGAAAACACCTTAGAACCGTTCGATTTGAGTTGATCGTGAGGTGTACAATACCTGAACAAATTTCCCGCCATCACTGGCACGGCTGTCAGGTGCCACCAATCAATGAGGCGGCTCCCGCGCAAAGACGCCAAAACCTGCTTTGCTCAAACTCGGCGATTTTCGGTAACTCTGCTCACGAAACAAGTGTCGTGCTCGGCAGGACGTGATCTTCCCCTGGCGAAGCAGAATCCTCTCGCCAACATCCAGCCATGCGAACTGACAACCAAAAGGTCCGCCGTGTTTGGCTAAGCAGCAGAAAGCAATTGCTCCACCCCGCTGAGATTCACACATTCACCCACCAGCCACCACCCCGCTGAGATTCGCACATTCACCCACCAGCCAGCAATTGCTCCCTTCTTGCTCCGTCCCTAGGAATTGCCACTATCGCCACCAGCCCATTCCAGTTCTTTCCCTGAACCTCGGAAATTCATCTCACACTCGTTTCCATGGCGTCGTCGCATTCTTTGAGTTTTTGGGCGGGTGACATCCTATTAGCCGTATCACCTTATTAAATTCTTAATACCGCCGTCTAGGGCTTGAACAGCGGGTCGTTCGACGGGAAGCACCGACCTCAATCGTATCATTCTTCATTATAGATCTTTATTCCGAGTCGGAAGAACCTTCGGACTTATCAATCGGTGCATATCTCCTTGATCGCTCGGAAGTAGATTCTCTCGTTTCGTACTCTGAGGCGAGGCGACTGCGTTGACGAAAGCAGTTAGACGTCCGCGACAGCTGTTACCTCGAAAAAGCGACGCTAGTAGTTTCCACCTGTCTCAACGATCTAGCCTTAGCAACTTGGAGTGAAAACGGACTGGAGCAGTAGGAGCGTGGTAGCGATTGGCTCTACTGGTTATATTGGAAAAAGGAGGAAGTCGAACCTTTGTTAAAGCTCCAGTGTACATTTGTCAGTAAGGTTGAGGGTTTTACAGTGTGACTCACAGTTTTGGGGCAACTTTTCAAGTTCCCAAGGATTTTGAACCCCTCCTTTCAAATGTATGCCAGAGCTATTGTAGCAGTTTTTTCAGGATGCTTGGTCTGGTAATGCTCGCCTTCACGATATCAATCACGTCTGCTCAAGCCGAGAAATTCCGCATTTTATTGAATCGCGTCCTGCTTACGGGAGACGTCGCGCCCTGGTTGGGAGTGCGGAACGGACGGAGCATCAAAGGAGTGTGGTGGTGATTAATTTCCTAGCTTCGCCGAATGACTAGAGTTGTCGCATCTTGGTGAATCGCAACGTCGCATCTTGCTGAATCGCAGCGCCGCATCTTGCTGAATCTCGTCTGGTCGACGCGAGATCGAGCTTTCAGCTATCAAGTGTCAGCGTCGTTCAATCGGACAGCAAAACGGAAGATGAGCCTTGACGCGAGACGGTCGACGAGTGACCGACGGCGAGCAGCGAACGACGACAGACGTACGACGACAGACGTACGACGAGCAGCGAACGACGACAGACGTACGACGAGCAGCGAACGACGACAGATGTACGACGAAAAGTGAACGACGACAGACGTACGACGAGCAGCGAACGGATGGCAAGCGACGGAAGACGAGAGATGGACGACTAGCAGCGAACGACGGGAGACGGAAGGCGTCGCGAGTGAGACGTCCGACCGAAACCGGCGACCAGCGAGCAACGACGCACGGCAAACGGCGCGCAACGAGTGCCGAGCGACACGCCTCCATGACCAGCGACGGACGAGAGCGTTGATGAAAAAGCTTTGCCGTTCGGCCACAGCTACTTCTCGTTAAGTGCTCCGAACTTCACTCCCGTTTCAGATTCATTCTAAATTGTGTTGTCTTTCTGTGGGAGTGTGAGGGCTTGTGGCAATGGTGGGCCGTGGCACAAGGCAGCTGAGCGCATGTAGATAGAGTTGTAGGGGGTTAGAATAGAATGCATTCATCCTCATGCCCGCGTCCTCCTCCTCCTCAGTCCCCCCTTGCAAGCTCGCTCGCTGCCAAACTGCCACGGGCTGCCATCGCCACACTCCCTTCGCCTCCCACGCTCCTCCCAACCTCTCCCGTGCCGTGCTGCCATCTGCTTCAAGTTTCCCAATGCTCATAAATTTCCACGTCATGCTTGCTGCTTCATCATTCTAGCTTCATTTCCTGCGCTACGCCAATCTCTTTGCATTTCCTTCTCGCCGTGCCTTGTTCCCCATCCATCTTCTGGCCTCAGGTCGAATGGAGTGCAGGCGGAATTGCAACGAGCTGGGTGCGACGCGACGATGTGCAGAATGGTGACGCGACGGTGTGCGAAACGGCGACGAATTGAGTTGTGTGCGACATTGCGCGGAATGGCGAGTTGCTGGGCGGCGTCGGTGACGTGCGGAATGGCTAGTTGCTGCGTGCGACGGTGTGCGGAATGGTGATGCTGCTGCTTGCTGCTCCTCCCTCGGACGAGTCACTTTCAACCCCTACGGGCGACGGACGAGAGAGTCGGAGGAGAGGCTATGCCGTTCAGCCAGAGCGTTCAGCCACTGCCACTCCCGGTGAAGTGCTCCCAACTCCACTCCCGCTTCTCTTGTCTCGCTTTTGTTCGCGCACAATACAATTCCAAACCTTTTCGAAAATTGTGCGAGTGAGGGTGGGAGTGTGAGGGCGTGTGGCGATGGTGGATTAGAGTTGTAGGGGGTTAGAATAGAATGCATTCATTCTCATGCCCGCGTCCTCCTCCTCCTCAGTCCCCCCCTGCAAGCTCGCTCGCCGCCAAACTGCCTTGGGCTGCCATCGCCACACTCCCTTCGCCTCCCACGCTCCTCCCAACCCTGCCATGCCGTTCTGCTTTTGGCTCGTTTGCTTCCATGCTCTCCTGCACCTTCCCATGCTGCTTGCGTGCTCCAGTTCTTGTTGCATGCCTCCGTTTCCCCCCGTTCCTCCAACCTCCCCTCCCTGTGGCAGCAGAGGCAGCAGCAGCAGCAACCGGGAGCCAAACGCAGTGGGCAGTAGGGAGCTCGCTTTGCCCACCTTCCAGAGAGCTTGTGGCACAGCAGAGGGACCTTCCACAGCAGAGGGACCTTCCACAGCAGAGGGACCTTCCACAGCAGAGGGACCTTCCACTGCAGAGGGACCTTCCACAGCAGAGGGACCTTCCACTGCAGAGGGACCTTCCACAGCAGAGGGACCTTCCACAGCAGAGGGACCTTCCACAGCAGAGGGACCTTCCACTGCAGAGGGACCTTCCACAGCAGAGGGACCTTCCACTGCAGAGGGACCTTCCACAGCAGAGGGACCTTCCACAGCAGAGGGACCTTCCACAGCAGAGGGACCTTCCACAGCAGAGGGACCTTCCACTGCAGAGGGGCCTTCTACTGCAGGGAGGCAGCGCTTTTACCAGGGAGAGTATGGGGCTGGCCATGACCTATCGAGGTATGCCACTTTTTCCAGTTCTACACCCCTGAGTAGGTCGCAAACACCGCTCTCCACCCGTCCCATGCCAATTCTGCTCAACACTCCTACTTCCCGTCCTTCTTTTTTGTTTTCGTTGTATGCCTCCTTCACCCCCGTCCCACCACCACCCCACCCCCCCCCCCCCCCCCCCCCCCACCCCCTGGTTTCCTCAATTCTGTGTAAAGTCTTTTGTGTATATCTCGTGCCTGTTTCTTGGCTCGCCTGCTGCCCTTCCCTCCGCTCTACCCCCTTCCTTCGCCCGGCCCCATTCCCTCCACCCTGCCCCCATTCCCTCCACCCTGCCCCCATTCCCTCCACCCTGCCCCCATTCCCTCCACCCTGCCCCCATTCCCTCCACCCTGCCCCCATTCCCTCCACCCTGCACCCATTCCCTCCACCCTGCCCCCATTCCCTCCACCCTGCCCCCATTCCCTCCACCCTGCCCCCATTCCCTCCACCCTGCCCCCATTCCCTCCACCCTGCCCCCATTCCCTCCACCCTGCCCCCATTCCCTCCACCCTGCCCCCATTCCCTCCACCCTGCCCCCATTCCCTCCACCCTGCCCCCATTCCCTCCACCCTGCACCCATTCCCTCCACCCTGCCCCCATTCCCTCCACCCTGCCCCCATTCCCTCCACCCTGCCCCCATTCCCTCCGCCCTGCCCCCATTCCCTCCGCCCTGCCCCCATTCCCTCCGCCCTGCCCCCATTCCCTCCGCCCTGCCCGCGTTCCCCTCTACTATGCCCCATTCCCTCCACCCTGCCTCCGTTCCCCTCCACTATGCCCCATGTTCTCCGCCCTGCCCTATTCCCTTCAGGCCACTCGTGATGGAGCAGAGGAAGCTGAGTGGCACACTGGCAACACCAGTTGCAACTGTGGAGCGCCAGTGCGGAGGGCTTGTGCGGGAGGGGAGGGAGGGAATGTGGGGCAGCAGCTGTTGGTGGCTCTTCAACTGCCAGCTGTTGGTAGACTCACCCTTTCAATTGGCTCCCGTGAGTAAACTTCCTGACTTTTCATTAAGTCAACACTTCTCCTTCCAGTGAGTCAACACTTCTCCTTCCAGTGAGTCAACGCTTCTCCTTACAGTGAGTCAACGCTTCTCCTTCCAGTGAGTCAACGCTTCTCCTTCCAGTAAGTCAACGCTTCTCCTTCCAGTGAGTCAACACTTCTCCTTCCAGTGAGTCAACACTTCTCCTTCCAGTGAGTCAACGATTCTCCTTCCAGTGAGTCAACGCTTCTCCTTCCAGTGAGTCAACACTTCTCCTTCCAGTGAGTCAACACTTCTCCTTCCAGTGAGTCAACGCTTCTCCTTCCAGTGAGTCAACGCTTCTCCTTCCAGTGAGCCAACCCTTCTCCTTCCAGTGAGTCAACGCTTCTCCTTCCAGTGAGTCAACGCTTCTCCTTCCAAAGAGTCAACGCTTATCCTTCCAGTGAGTCAACGCTTCTCCTTCCAGTGAGTCAACACTTATCCTTCCAGTGAGTCAACACTTCTCCTTCCAGTGAGTCAACGCTTATCCTTTCCCTGCGGCTGATCGACCAACCCTTTGGAAACCCTAGGGTCGGGCCACCACCAACCCTCTGGCCCAGCCTTCAATTCTTTGGCTGAACGGTAGCAACGTGTTATGGCACCATCTTTCCTTCCATGCTGCTCTTCTCCTTTCGCTCCATCTCATGCTCAACTCTGTAAGCTCTGCACCAATCTCCTGCGAAGAGCCTTTCAATTGCGTGTGGTTCACTGTTTGTTGTGAAGCAGCGGCGGTGCAGTGAGGAGGTGTAGTGGTGGGCCTGGTGTAGTGGTGGGCCTGGTGTAGTGGTGGGCCTGGTGTAGTGGTGGGCCTGGTGTAGAGGTGGGCCTGGTGTAGTGGTGGGCCTGGTGTAGTGGTGGGCATGGTGTAGTGGTGGGCCTGGTGTAGTGGTGGGCCTGGTGTAGTGGTTGGCCTGGTGTAGTGGTGGGCCTGGTGTAGAGGTGGGCCTGGTGTAGTGGTGGGCCTGGTGTAGTGGTGGGCATGGTGTAGTGGTGGGCCTGGTGTAGTGGTGGGCCTGGTGTAGTGGTTGGCCTGGTGTAGTGGTGGGCCTGGTGTAGTGGTGGGCCTGGTATAGTGGTGGGCCTGGTGTAGTGGTGGGCCTGGTGTAGTGGTGGGCCTGGTGTAGTGGTGGGCCTGGTGTAGTGGTGGGCCTGGTGTAGTGGTGGGCCTGGTGTAGTGGTGGGCCTGGTGTAGTGGTGGGCCTGGTGTAGTGGTGGGCCTGGTGTAGTGGTGGGCCTGCTGTAGTGGTGGGCCTGGTGTAGTGGTGGGCCTGGTGTAGTGGTGGGCATGGCCCCATCCCCGGGGCTGGTGCATCTCCACCTGTACGAAGGTTGGACCGACATTTCTACCGGCGCTCATATTGCATGCTACACCCGTATGTGCTTCTCTCTCCCACTCTATTTCCCAGGCATTAAAGGCCGATACCGGTCCTTGGGAGGGTAACGAGGCAGCACATACACATACATTGTCAAGCTATGGTATAATGGGTAGGCTATAGTGGGGTAGCCAACATGGGGTACAACCCCTTTAGGTTTTGTACTTGTACCAACTCTCTCGACAATTCACATCATTCCTGCTCGTTAATTCTTTACATGGTTTCAGAGCAGTAGGTCCGTAGGACCGTTTTTTTTTTTTCGGGCCCACCATTACCTAGTGATCGACTACGGTTACCGCGTTACCCCACGCCTTGCCCTGCGCTGCGCTGTCAGCGCGCGCCCTGCCCTGCCCTGCCCTGCCCTGCGCGCACTGGCGCCCTGCCCTGCGCCAGCGCCCTGCCCTGCGCCAGCGCCCTGCCCTGCGCCAGCGCCCTGCCCTGCCCTGCGCCAGCGCCCTGCCCTGCGCCAGCGCCCTGCCCAGCGCCAGCGCCCTGCCCTGCGTCCTGCTGCAGCCTGCGCCCTACGGCAGCTGCACGTCGTGCCTTACTGCCCTGCGCGTCGCGCCCTACGGCAGCCTGCGCGTCGCGCTCTGCTGCCCCGCGCGTCGCGCTCTACGGCAGCCCGCGCGTCGCGCGCTGCTGCCCCGCGCGTCGTGCTCTGCCGCCCCGCGCGTCGCGCCCTACGGCGGCCCGCCCGTCGCACGCTGCTGCCCCGCGCGTCGCGCCCTATGGCAGCCTGCGCATCGCGCGCTGCTGCCCCGCGCGTCGCGCTCTGCTGCAGCCCCGCGCGTCGCACCCTGCTGCCCTGTGCGTCGCGCCCTGCTGCAGCCAGCGCGCCGCGCCCTGCTGCCCTCCACAGCGCGCGCCCTGCTGCCCGCGCCGCCCAGGCCGAGCCGCGCCACCCGACACGATCCGCCCTTCTGCTCATGCTACTACTGCTGCTGGTGGAGGTGCTGCTAGGAGTGCTGGAGGTGCTGCTAGGAGTGCTGGAGGTGCTGCTAGGAGTGCTGGAGGTGCTGCAGCCTAGCCTCACGAGCCGCTCTGCTGTTCGTCTTACTGCTGCTGCTACTCGTACTACTGCCTTCACTCCGTACTTCCCTAGAGGTCGCGCTCCTCCTAGCTTGCCCGCCATGACTTCACTTTGTAGTCGCGGTGGGAGTGGTGACGGCGGTAGTGGCAGCAATGGGAGTCGCGGCGGCCGTAGTAGCAGTCACTGTGGAGCTGTGTGGTGTGGAGTCTCTGGCGGTGGCCATATGCAGCTACGGTGGCGTCCTACCCTTACGCCCGAGCAGCTTCGTGAGTGGCTTTACCAGCGTGGGACGTCTCCGAGTCCTGGTCGCTGTCCGTACGTCATTCGCATAGGTCGTCGAGCTGATTAGACCTGTGGGACACATGGTCACGCACAGTCCCGCTGCTTCTCCTATTTGACAGACGCCTGGCACGCAGAGTTTGGCGACGAGGCTGAGACCCCCCACTGGCTTGAGCTGCTTAGGTCGAGCGTTGATGTCTTTGCTTTAGACTATGACGCCATCCTTACTGCCATGTCTGCTTTGCCTGATGGTGCTGAGAGTGACTGTTACGTGTGTGTGCAGTACGACCCCGGTATAGAGGTTGCTGCTCTAGGTGCTAGTGAGGCTGCTGCCTTAGGTGCTGGTGAGTCTGCTCTCTCAGGTACTGCGCCTGCTGAGGCCTTGCACACCTTCACGCTTGACTCAGGTGCTTCCCGCTGCTTCTTCCGTGACAGTACCGCACTCACACCACTCCCTGCACATGTTGCAGTCTCTCTGGCTGACCCTTCAGGGGGCCCAGTTATTGCACGATCCACCACTGTGCTTCTGTGCCCGGCGGTTCCGTCTGGCTCACTGTCAGGTCTCCACCTCCCCTCGTTCTCGAAGAACTTGGTGAGCAACGCCGTTCTCCAGGATCATTGGGTTGACACCTTTACCCCTAGAGGACAGCGTGTGGCGATCTGTACGTGCTCCAGGACTGGCCGTCACCTGGCCACGTTCACCCGTCGGCCAGGGTCGAGTCTTTACACACTGACGACTGTGTCTCCTCAGGCAGCTGCTGCCGGTCAGGTGTCTGCGTCAAGTCTGGTAGCCTCCCCTTGTGAGTGTCGCTCCCTGTCGCACCGGAATCTTCTCTGGCACCACCGCCTGGGTCACCCCTCCTTGCCACGACTCCGTGGCATGCACCGCCACCTCCTTGTGTCTGGTCTTCCCAGGTCTCTCCCTCCCCTCCCTGCCTCGCCTGCGCCGCCCTGCCTTCCTTGCGTCGAAGGGCGGCAGCGCGCCGCTCCTCACTCCTCCTTGTTTCTCCCGACAGAAACTCCTCTGCAGACCCTCCATCTGGACGTGTGGGGCCCAGCCCGCGTTCGTGGACAGGGCGGTGAGCGGTACTTTCTGCTGGTTGTCGACGACTACTCGCGTTACACCACGGTCTTCCCCTTGCGCACCAAAGGTGAGGTCTCTACTGTCCTGATCCCTTGGATCCGAGCAGTTCGTCTCCAGCTCCGCCGCAGGTTCCGTCAGGACCTTCCTGTCCTGCGCCTACACTCTGACAGAGGTGGTGAGTTCACCTCCGACCTCTTGCGGGCCTTCTGTCAGGGGGAGGGCATCGAGCAGTCGTTCACGCTTCCGGGCTCACCGCAGCAAAATGGGGTTGCTGAGCGCCGCATTGGCTTAGTCATGGAGGTCGCTCGTACCTCCTTGATCCATGCGGCGGCTCCCCATTTTCTGTGGCCGTTTGCGGTCCGGTGCGCCGCGCAGCAGCTCAACCTCTGGCCCCGTGTCTCCTTGCCGGAGACCTCGCCCACACTGCGTTGGACGGGGGAGGTTGGCGATGCGTCGCGTTTCCGGGTCTGGGGTGCTCGTACCCTTGTCCGCGATACGTCTGCGGACAAGCTTTCCTCCTGCACCATTCCCTGTGTCTTCCTTGGCTTTGTCCCTGACGCGCCTGGCTGGCAGTTTTACCACCCCACCTCGCGCCGTGTCTTCCCTTCTCAGGACGTCACCTTTGACAAGTCGGTTCCTTTCTACCGTCTCTTCCCCTACCGCACTGCCCCTCTCCCTCCCCCGCCGCTTTTCCTCGCTCCAGGTCCCCCTCCAGTAGACCTCCTCCCCCCCTCAGGGTCCTGCTCCTTCAGGTGTGTCTTAGGTAGACCTGCCTTTCTTGGCTGAGCCTGTAGAGGTCACTAGCGACTCAGGTGTTGCTGCGGGAGGCGCTGCTGGGGGTGCTGCGTCTGGGGGTGCTGAGCCTGCGCGTGAGGTGCTGGGGAGTGCGGAGCTTGGGGGTGCTGATCCTGCGACTGCGGAGCCTGGGGATGCTGAGCATGTCCGTGAGGTGCTGGGGGGTGCGGAACCTGGGGATGCTGAGCCTACGAGTTCGGAGCCTGGGGGTGCTGAGCCGGAGGGTGCCGGGTCGAGGAGTGCTGAGTCTGCTGGCGTTCCTCTGCGTCTCGTTTCACGCCGCGGGCCTCTCTCACCCCAGCAGGCACGAGAGTGGCTTGCGTCGCGTACCTGCCTGAGGAGTCGTGCTGCTGGAGCTGCTTGTCGTGGAGGCGCTAGGAGTACTGGTGTCTCTGGTCCTGGAGGTGCTCGT